TGGCATTCTCCTCCTTCCAGGCACAGGCTGTGTAAATACAATAGGACAGCTGAAAGCAGGAGTTATCTTTTATGAGGTATATATGCACTTTGTAAAGTGCAGCTCTGGTTTGGCCTATCATAGAATAGTTAGGGTTGGAAAGGACCTTAAGATCATCTAGTTCCAACCCCCAGTGAAGTTAAAAAATCCTAGCTTCCTCATTTTTTTCAAAGAGTAGTTATTACACATGAAATAGCTGTATCTTTTCTTGTGAGAGAGGTTGAAGAATTAGTCAATGACTTTCATAGCACTGAATGTTGAACAGGATATGCTGCTGCCTGTCATATGCAAAAAACATTTTTGCACTTTATCTTAGCTAATCTAAACCCAGACTATCAAACCCATTATTTCACTGATTCCTCATTAACAAGGCAATTTGCTTACAGGGCAACAGAATGCACAAGTGTACCCTTGTGTTCATCTTTTGTGCCCAGAGGCTCTGCAGTTTTAGGCATTGTGTTGAGAGTTGAATTAGAGCTCAGAAAGGAGGATGATGTCAACATGCCCAAAGACAGACTTGCTGTCAGGATGCCTTTGCTTTTCTGTGGTAGGTATTTTCTGCTACATAAAATAAACACCCAACCAAGTAGCTGCTACAGGACTGGGAAAAACCAGAATACATAAAAAAGAATAAAAAGAGATTTTTTACAGCATACAAGGTACACTCAGCGGAAAGAAAGAGACTGTGTGGAAAAAATGGTACTGTTATCCACCAAAAGTAAAAAAAAAAATTAAAAAAAAATTCATCAACCAGAAAAGCAACCTTGGAAAACTGTCAACATTAAAGTTTATTTTGTAATGCTAATTCAGCTAGATTTCTTACCCTGTGTATGTATATGTCCCAACACAAGCAATAAAGAATGTTCACTTTAGTATGACAAGAAAGATGGAAATGCAATATACACAATGTAGCCAAGTGGTTAATCCAGAAAAAAAAGTATTCTGTTCCTAAGGATGACTTCACTTGTGGCCTGGGCATTGGATCTTTCAAAACAAGCTGGATTTATTGGGTCGGGCAGTGGTGTGCAGATGTGATTATACCTCTCAGACTGTAAGACACCTGGGAATAAGATGGCTCCGGAGCATAAACATGAACTTGTCCATCGCGAATCTAGACAAACATCCCCTGAAAGAGTGTAAGTTTTTCCATTAATTTTGATGGGAGCTGGATCAAACTGTTAGTTTCTTGACACTGACATTGCAGTATATACCACTTGGTTGTCTTATTTAAAAAGGAAAGGAAGACACAAAAGTAAAACAGACTCTCTTGAAAAATGCATGAGACGGTGGCCATTACTGGCCATTTAGTTGTGTATTGGTGGCATAAGAAACATGCAGCTGTGAATTTAGGGGTGGAGTGGGCTGCATGGAGACCTCACAGCAGCCTTCCCATGTAGGGGTCCTGCAAGGATACCTGAGAGGGACTGTAGCAATAGGACACGGGGTACTGAGTCCAGACTTAAACAGGGGAAGTTCAGGTTAGATATAAGGAGGAAGTTCTTTACTGTGAGGGTGGTGAGGCACTGGAACAGGCTGCCCAAAGAAGTGGTAAATGGTCCAACCCTGGCAGTATTCAAGGACACTGTTGGACAGAGCCTTGGGCAGCACAGTCTAGTGTGAGGTGTCCCTGCCCATGGCAGGGGGTTGGAACTAGATTGTCTTAAGGTCTTTCCAACCCTAACCAACCATTCTAAGAAGTGGGTGAAGGTGATAATATGTAATGAAAACATTCCATATGGCATTTCCTCAGTCAGAAACATAAGAAATCAGAAACACAATAAGCCAAGGCTGTCAACAGTTCTTCACAACTGGTTTTCATGGGGCTTCTTTGCATATTGAGTAGTTCCTGACTAAATCCCTAAGTAGCTGATTTCAAAGTAGTGCAGTTGATCAGGGACCATTTTCTGGGTAAGGGTCTAAAACTGTTGGCCCCCTAAAAGCAGGGGTTATAACTGTATGTGGTTACCCAGAACAGTGGGATTTTCTGCTCTCCAAAGGATGCCAAAAAAACTTTATCAGAATGGTTTGAGTGGGAAACCTTACATGAAATGGCAAACCAAAGAAAACTTCATCATGTTTGCCAAGGAAATGTTAAAAGATAACTCTCTCATGAAAAAAATTCTGATTGTGAAGGGCTCTTCACTTGACCAGGTGAATTCAGAATAATATTCAAGTGTTCAGGCTAGAGTGAAGGTTCATGTTTTTCTAATTAATTAATTTAATTAATTATTGGAGCCATTACTCAAGGCATATGTTATATTTCCGGCCATTTGAAGTCTAAATCAGAACTAATCATATGCTCTAGCTTATGCTAATTTTGCTGTCCTCAAAAAATTTTTCACTGAAGTCCTTTAAGACCAAATTTGAGTCTATTGGCAGGAAACCTGGTTTTCTTAGTGGTTTTCCAGTAGAAGTAGTGTACAGACTTAGAGGCATAAGTGTCCCACAGGTTGAAAACCACTGTGTCAGCTTAACCAAAAATTGCATGATAAAATTCCTTGGCTAAATTAGCTAGATAAATGACAGGTCGCTTTGTTGTGTGGACCAGCTGCACTCATAACCACAAGTACGATGTGAGAGTGTCTCTGTAAGTCTGTTGCAAAGTCACTGTGTAGGACACTTGCTCAGGGTAAAATCAGGAGGAGCTTACTAGGAAGAACTGAAGACATAGAGTTGGCACAGATCCAGAGTCCATGAGGAAGCTTTGAAAAGGTAATCAGACTTCTGTTTTTCTTTCTGATTCAAACCAACCCAGGACTGAGAGGGCATGGGTGGCAATCATCTCGGGCACTCTACCTTGGAGCAGTGAGCTCTGTGGTTCTCAAAACAGTAATTTCCAGTGAACCACTGGCAAGTTAAACTATCTTGATTCATCAGGAAAACCAAGACAGAGGAGCAGTCAGGCAGTATCCGTTTTTATCATCAGCGTGAACCTCGTATTACTGAAAACTCCCTTTTTACTGGCATCAGTCCTCATGGTTATTTCTCTTGTGGAGAATTACGATTTTTCAAGTTGGAGTGGTAACGCTACTTAAATCCATTTATTCCAAGCTGAGAAATACACATCCACTGATCTTTTATTACATTTTTCTATGTTTGGGACACACATCTCCCATGCTTGATGGCATTTGTTGTTATCTATTATGAAAAAAACCTTTTATTAATTTTCAGTCTCATGCTTGCTGAAAAGCACATGCACACTCTTTTCACTCATCCTACCTCCTCATTCCTGACCTGCTTTTATTTTGCTAGTTGGTGGTTGCAGCTGTTTTGAGTGTATAGAAATGCTGGGCTTGGAAACTGAGAAGGCTGTTCATTGTAGTCAGCAAAAAAACAAACAATGAGCTCAGAATCTGGCTCTTCAGTCAGTTTCTAGTAAAAAGGAGTTCAGTGAATAATGAGAATTAAGCCACAAGGGAAACCAGTGTGCAGTTTGAATGTTGTTTTAAATAAGCTGGGAGTGCTGTCAGGAGTGATTGGGGTAGAATGTGGCCACAAACGTGTATTGCCTCTTTTCATCCAGTCTGAATTGCATGATCAATATGGCTGGATTCTGGAATGTTGAAGAGTCCATTAGGATAGCTTAAACTATATCCCTGTCCCTGCTAAGTTACGTTCATCTATTGACATCCATAAATTGAATTACATACTTCTGTAACTAATCTAAAAAGCAAAGCAGTTTAATTTTTGCTCGTTTCCTAAGATTAAATGTTTGTTTTATTCTAAATCCCAAAGCTATAATAAAAAGATTGGTTTGGGATCTTGAAGTAGATTTTTGAGGCTGAAATATGTCTTTCTTGTTGCTTTAATACATGTTCTGTTTAAAAAAAAACCACTGTAGGTCAGCTCTGCTCTTCAGTCACATCACTGTGCGTGAGGATAACTACTTTGCCTTTCAGAGAGGCTGAGGCCCCCTCTCCACATAAATGTAGGTTTTTGGTATTTAGCATCCCTGAAAAAGGAAAGCATGGTTCAGATGAGAAGAAACATTAAATACCATTATAGATGTGTCAGCTTTAAGCTTTAAACTTTCTTCCACATTAGCACATTTTGGTCAGGGTGTGGGATTCTTCCAAGGTAATAAAAGTGGAAGTGAAATTTCAAGGAGATGGATTTTGGTACTGTGCAAGTTACCTACAGGGAGCTCAGTGGGACTACTTACAAATTGAGGTGGGCATTGTCACCAGTTGTCCTGAAGTGTGTGAGAGGCAGAATGTACACAAAAGCATTTCAATGTAAAAACTGATTTATCCAAGCTCTTTCCCTAAATATAGTGAAACGTTTTAGAAATGGATGGTTCTCCAGTGTTTATATCAGGGAATTTGGTATTTGTCCGACACAGAAGGTCAAGAAATTGGCTCTTCAGTAGAGTGCCCAGTGAACACTGCAAGAGTATTTGTGAAGTGATAACCTTACAAGTGCTGTAACCTTTTTAATTTACAGAGATAAGCATATGAACTTCCTAGAACTTGCATTTGTTAAATCAGGGACATGTGAATGACATTCTAAAGCCTGTGAAATCATAAAGTCTCTTACAAAATTTCTTCAGCATGGATTTGGACCTTTAATGAGAAGGGCTTCTGAAATAATAGCTGGGCACAGAGAGTGGGACTCCTTAGCAGCAGACCTTAGGGGCAAACCAGCCCATCAGAGAAATAACTGGAGTGCCTGTGGCCAGTGCAGGCAAAAGCTCATTTGTACAGAAGGCAATGAGACCTGCAAGTCCCTGAAATCTTCGTGGTCACTTGATGTGCTGGCTTATAGTGTCAGTTCCATGGAAGAAATGTAGGTTTGCCTTTCCTCAGGGAAATGAGGTCTCTCCGCAAATAATTCCTTGACACAGGCAACCAGGTCCTCCAAAGAATTCTGAACTCAGATGTCCATGGGGGAAAAAAAAGGAACCTGAATTTTAAAAATGGTTGATCTATATAATAGCCAAAGTTTGGATTTTGTCTATTCCATACATTGTATGTGGTTCCTATTTATTTAAAGAAGCAATGCACACTTTCAGAGATACAGAATGTAGCTTCAAGTAATAGTAGAAACTAGAAGCTTTGGAAGTCTTTGAAACTCATGTACCACAGTTTCTGTTCTTTAATGAAATTCTGAAGTGGGCTGGTTTCCTTTTCCCATCTCTTTTTGAGAAACCTGCTTGGTTTTGTAGGCTAGTCAGGATGGAAAGCTAGAAGAACTCTCTCAGGAAGATTGAGGCTAACTTCTGTAAATGCTGTGCAGGTTGGCATGCTTGCTATTGACTCTCCCTAATACAGAATCCAGTAAATTTATAACTTTATCATGGTATAACCTTTAACATGTGATGCAAAGGATATTCCTGTAATGTCATTGGTTAAATTAATTCTCCCTGGAAAACTGCACAATTTTCTTGAGTTGTCATTCATTTACAGTATAAGCCTTTCACCTCAACAGTTCCAGGGATAAATTGAAGGTACATGAAAAACAGCTGATCACTATGCTGGGTTTTTTGTTTTTTTGTTGATGTCATTCATCCCTAAAGATTATAAAATATACTATGACAGTCTTTGGTTATTAGCAGCTCCAACAAATAATGGTGGCCTAGTATAGATTTTAAAGATGCATCCTCTGCATTGCAGAAAAGCCATTTGTTTTCTAAGATGTTTTATGCCTGTTCTCAAAACATTTGGCTGTTTTTATCAGCTGTTTGTTGCTATGATTATCACTAATTGCATATTATAAAGGCAGAACATGACAGCACAAATTCCACCAAGCTGACAATCAATTTTGGGGATGTCCAGTCTATAGATAAGCACCAGGGACTAGAAGATCATGTGCTGCAATGTGCCAATAACATCTTTTAATTCACTGATGTGGAGGCCATTAAATGCAGATCCATGACTGTATGCTATGCAAGGACAAGGCTTTGAAATCTCCAGCAGGTGACTCTCTGCAGAAGCCAGCAGTCTGCAATGACAAAACTTGAATCCTTGAACATTTCCAAAACTGCAGAAAAGAAAGATACTGAAAACAAAACAGAAAAAAAACCCTTTCATCTATAAATAGACCACATCTTCAGTTATTTGTGTACTGAGTTTTGCACACAATTCTTGGTATTTTTCTATGCTGAATCTTCTGGAATCTCTATCAATACACCACACCTGAGTTTGGAACTTCCATGTCAAAGGTGAACAGAGGTCAAGAGAGTTGGATATATTTAGTCGTTGTAAAAGAGATTCATAAAGAATTTGTCAATCTGGAAGACACAAAAGAAGCCTGAGCTTTGGGAGAGCTCTGGACTTGCTCTTCTCTAGTAGGTGGAGATATTTTGTGAGAATACCATCTCCTGCTTCTCCATTTGGCAGTAATAAGTAGCAAAATGGCCCTGCAGACAAATATTTGTATCTGTTTGAAACTGACAGATGAACAAAATAGCTGACTGCTTCTGCTGAGATTAATGATTATAACAAAGCTGACATTTAAATAGTATTCATTAGGTTTTAAAGTTAATGATCCCTTGAGATGAATTAGAACAAATCATGTCACTCAAAACTGGGAGAGCTGAGAGGAAATTCCAGAACACTGGGGCAAATCTTATTGGAGCAAAAGATGCAGAAAAGTCTTTATCCAAGGTAGTAATTTTGTAATTAATGTGAAAACAACAATCATGGCTTTAAATATGCCTTTATTCCAGTACATCTGTACAGTTCTTATATCATACAGAGAAAGAAAATGTCTGTAACAATGTATCCCAAACAATTCAATCCATGTCTTATGTCATTAGCACTGACAGATCTGTAAGACCAATATTGTTCGAGCTCGACCAGAGGTAAGAGCTCTGAGTGGTTTAACAGTCAGTTAAGCTTACTAAAAGTTGAAGTTAATGAACCTAGATATAGATGCTACTCTGAAACAACAAATAAGTAATACTGGCTAGCACTGTGCTCAGTTACATGTGCACAGTGTTTTATACACTGGCAGATATAAACAGCCAGAGAGACTAGCACTGATATAACCTTAGATTGGTCCTGGACAAGCAGTAGCAATGCTGAGAAATTTTAGCAGAAACTCCCTAATATAGACATAGGCATGGAGGCTGGAAAATACTAAAAAAACCACTAATAGAGGACAGCTGATTGGTGGTAGTTAAATGTATCTATCTGAAAATAGAAAACAAAATATCTGGGGTGGTGTCTGGCTTCATCAAAATCAATGGCAAATCTTGCATTGACTTAAATTTTGACTAGAATTTCAACCCTGTTTTCTGCATGGACCAGTAGGAAAAAGGTGACATTTTTCCCCCCCTTCCCTTTCTGGTATAAGAAATGCTTTGTTTGGACAACTGCCATTGACTCTTCAGCATTTGGCCCAGTTTTAAAAAAAGTCTGTATCAGCCAATTAGCTGTACAAAATAAATACTGTCTCTTTGGCTGACCTGGATAGTTTCTATGGCAGCTCCATACTTAATCTAAACTCTATTCTTTTCCTGTTTCTTGCTTCTCCCTTCAAGCCACCAGCCACTTCACCAGTTCGCTTTGAAAAGGCTCTTGGAAGCAGAATGTAAAAGGCAAACTGTTTCTCTTCCTCTTGCAATACCTTCAATTTTAGAGAACGACTGGGGTCTTTGCTCGTAACAGTGAAGTTCCATCTGTAGTTGTTACTTGCTGCCAGTCATTGTGTCTTTCGCTAGACCCAAAGGACCCAAAATTATTTCTGCAGAAACTGTGATTAGAACTCTGGACTACTTAATCCCAATTTTTTTCCCTCATGTCCTCTTCACCATTTGGTTTCGGAATAAAGTCATTATGTGTATTTTAGAAATCCAAAATGTATATAGATCTGTATTTTGATTTGCAAATTATTACTGTTAACATTAGCATTACATATATTTAATGTTAGTATAATATGTGAAGGTGTGTATTACTCTTCAACAACAGAATTCAGTGGATTATAATATTTACATTATGCTTTTCAGTGGTATGACTCTGACGAACGATGTTATTTAGGAACATTTGACAAATTTAGTATTTTCAGGTCAATATGGTCATTTTCTTGACTATATTTCATGAGGAAATCCTTTACTTGTTTCTCTTCTATTCAGTTCTTTTTTCTTCTTTTTTTTCCAAAGACTGAATTTACTTGTAACTTGAGATCTGAATGCATGTGACCGTTTCTTCTTGTAGTTTGCCAAATTGTTGTCACATAAATAACATTTGTATTTATTAGTGCTTGGATACCAGTGTGATGGGTAACTTAGACTGAATAAAACATTTAAAATGAGAAGGAGACAGATCTTAAAATCACATCTGCTCTGGAGAACTGAACTTTGCCAAAGCAAACTTTAAGCTTCAGTTTCAGTGCGTCTATGTCTACTCAGCCTGAAGCAGTGCAAGTTTGGGTGGAATCTGCACTCACTACTTCAGAAGCATGATCACCATTAGACATCTCTCATAGGGCCCATAGCAATTTTTCAAGCAGTGGCTTCTGGAAAATATTAGTAGTTGGCATTATATTGTGACAGAGAAAGTGAAACCACTTGCTATTAAAAAGATGATTCTAAATATGTATGATTCCTCCATTAACTTCTGTAGGCTTAACTGTAAAGAGTCCTGTCTTTGTTGTTACTGTGAGGGCAACAGAGAGGTCACTCACTGTAGGTCAGCCACAGGTTTCAACAGGCATGGTATTCGACTGACATTGCATAAATGTCCGACTTCAGCTCTTCCAACTACATCAGTCACCTAACTCAGCTCTCAAACACATCTGAGGTAAAGGTTTGAGACACCGTATTGTACACTTTACTGATAAGGAAACTGAGGTGGTTAATGGAATGCCACACAGTCCTGGCATTCAGGTCTACAATCACAGCTGACTCCTCGAGCCCCTGAAACAAACTGCTGAAAGCAAAGTAGGAAATTATTTGAGGAACTTGCTTCCAGCTGTCTGATGATAGCTATGTCCGTAGACAGTCCCAAGAATGCCAAAAGGATGACCCAAATTGAAAATTACAATTACTTCAAAATATGCCCATTTCTGTCTGCAGATAGATGTGTGCAAGTTTGTGGTCTAGTCTACTCCAATAAATTTAATCATGATAACCATACATTTTTGACACTTCTGCTTCATTACTATCATTCATTAGAACTGAAAGAGTTTCAGCTGATTTATTCTGTGGCAGTCTTTTGCCTGCGCCACACAGCTGTTGAGAAAAATCCCCCTAGTCCATTTCACTCATTAGTCTTCCACTGGATGTGACTGTCTAATGAAAGAGTCATCTGCCTATAAGATAGTGCTGTCTGCTTAGGCACACAGGCTGCCTGCTAAATAGAAGGAGGTAGCAATGAAGTGTCACATTTCAAAGACTACAAGAGCAAATTGGGATGGTAACAGACTGAACAAATGCATTCTTAATGAGAGGAAGCTCTTCTATTACTTTACTGGGATGCGTGGAAAGAAGTCCTTAATGCTCAGAAACAGTAAAACTAGCCATTTTTAATGCTTTTTGGGAAAAAAAGGAAAAAACTGTGACAGAAGTCTTTAACAAATTTCTGCTTGTAAATTGCAAAAACTTTTTAGCATGATCCTTTGCTTAAGATTTAAACTCAAAGGTGAGAGGTGCAAGTTTTCTGATCTCTACACCCTAAAAGCTTTTTGGGCTAAATACATTCTGGGCATGCAGCACAAGCGTTGCAACCAATATCTAATCCACTGAGCACTGAATGTTTCCAACATCCTATAGATACAGGATAATAAGAAAATGCAAAAAGCCACACTTTTGACACATTATCCTTGTCTAAGAAACTGAAAACTCTAAACAATCCCCAAAAGTAATGACTTTAACCACAGGTAGTCCCATTGTAATCTCTCCCATTTTTAATTTTCCTGTTTGGTTTTAATCACTCATTGCAAGTCCATTCTAAATGTGCCGAAGTCAGACTAACAGTCATAGAATCTCAACTTACGGGTAATGGGTTAAAACTTAAACAGGGGAAGTTTAGATTGGATATAAGGAGAAAATTATTTCCTGTTAGGGTGGTGAGACACTGGAATGGGTTGTCCAGGGAGGTTGTGAATGCTCCATCCCTGGCAGTGTTCAAGGCCAGGTTGGACCAGGCCTTGGGTGATACGGTTTTGTGTGAGGTGTCCCTGTCCATGGCAGGGGAGTTGGAACTTGACGATCTTAAGATCTTTTCCAACCCTAACTATTCTATGATTCTGTGATACTAAAATCTTTTCTACTTGTGCTTCCGTCTGCCAGCATCTTCAGTACTGTAGAATGAAAATACTATGGACCCAATTATTTTGTTACTCTAAGCTACATATATTTGACTCCCATTTAAAAAGATGTAATTCCCATTGGTTTATCATCATTCTCTTTAGCCATCCTTTCAATATCTTTATGTACATCAAATTCCTTGAAATTGGGGAAAAGCATTTGTCCAACAACAGGCAAGTTATATGTCAACAAGAATGCAGGCATGCCCAGCTTACCCTTCAGGTCACTGCCATGGTCTCATTTCATCAGTTTATTTCTTTATTGTTCCAGTATTGTTCCAGCTTTCTTTTACTTACCTATGCAAGGTACACGTCAGCAAGGCCTCCACCCATCATTCCTTTGCGTCTGGATTTATAATGCCTGAAAAATAAAGGTTCTTGCTAATTAAGGCCTCTTTTCACTCTTTGTGAGTTCCATAATTATTCTTAGTATCTTGCTTTAGTTCTTTATTCATTAGGAGATTCCAGCCCTTTCCTACAATTCCTCCTTCCTGCCCAGCAGGCATAGATTATTTCCAAAAACACTAAGCTTAAAATAGCAGACTTTGTTGTTCTATGAATTTCTGTACCAAAAAGTCTATCTTCTGAAATGCTGAAGAACATCTAAACCTTGCTGTTATTTATGTCTGTGTCTGGAAGATTTAAGTTTCCTATGCTCATACAGTTTTTCCCTTATTTATTTCTTCATTTATTGAAATGATTACCCTCTTCCAAATCTCAGCCTGTCAGACCATAATGTCCTCTTTTCCCCAAACACTGTCCAAGTTGGGTCTCTTTTAACATCTTCCTTGCAGTGGTTTTCATCCTGACAAACAGGCTATCTTTTATTCATGCCACCACATTTTAAGATTAATAAATATAATTCGGCTGTTTTACTTTGCTACAACTTCAAATTCGCTGACTTCTGTGTATTTTAAGTTGCATCCACATAGGCCTGTATATAAAATTTCTTTGTTTTCTTTTTAGATTGAAGAAACCCCAAGGAGAAACATCATGAGCTTCTCCAGCCTTCCACAAAATTATTATGAATGCACCTATTCATATTAGATTAACTTAAGAGCATTTGGTTTGGGTTGGGTTTTATTTAGCAGTATACACCAGCTATGAATAGTACTTTTCTATTCCAGTAATGCTTTTTCCTAGTCACTACTCATCCACCTGAATGAGGTATAGGTGATACTGAAACAGCAATTAGATTCTAACCAATGTGCATCATGTACAGAAGATGTGTAGTGTTCAGAACAACCCCAAAAGGCCACAGATTTGAACAGTAGGGAGCACCTGTAAGTGTAGAGATTTACCTCCCCTCCACACTGTTAGCATGTAAACATGTTGTCACATGCAGCTTTAGCCCAAATTATAGAGTTCTGTGGGGGAAAATTGTACAAAAAAACTTCACATACCATCTCTCATAGCCATTAGTCTTAGGGTGTGCTGACAGAGGACAGGCAAGGAATGAATTACAGCATAGTGCCTCAGTGAATATATCTACAGCCTAAGTTACAGTTCAACAGAGAGTTTGCAGGTTGCTGTTCTTGACAGTAATAAATTGTTTTCATGCGCTCAGGAGTAAACACCACCATTAAAATGCTGAGACATTTTCTGTTGTGTTAAAATTAAGTTCTGCAACTGATCTTATAAATGATAACCAAAAGACTGCGTATCAACTAATTTGATTCCCTATCTGAAGAAGACAGGGAACTTAACCTTAGATTTCAAAAAAAATTTATAGCTAAGCCAGTACTGAAGTACATTTTTTCCAGTCAGTGTTGCTGTGATTTAGATGAGAAGCAGCAAGAAAGATTTGAGCTGTCACACTTGACTTTGAACTGCCAAGAAGAGGTATTGGAGGTTACAGGCTAAGCTTTAATTCATATTCCTCCTTTTGTTACAGGCAGAGATGGTACGAGCTGCTTTCCAAGCGCAGAGATCTTTCCTGGTGTTAGCATCCCAATGTCAAGAGCCTCAAGAGGTAAGAAAAGTGACCTAGAGTTGCAAGAGGCAATGTATTAAAAAAGCTGTGCTCCTGTATGTTATCAATCCCTGCATTTGCTTTTATTTGTTACTTTATTTATGGGGTGCACTTAGAGGTTTGCTTTCAGTTTTATTACCATGGTGCTGTACTAATGAGAAAGGCATGGTGCAGAGTCAAGAACCTTTTCTGTACCAATACACGTAAGATCATTGAAGAAATCATAGGAGGTTTCCACTTCACAGCTGTTAAGTGGGATCAGTGTTTCCCTGGAAGCTGGAAATGCCATGGAATAGAACAGCTTTTTGCTAGCGCCCTCCCTGCCCCAGCCCCGGATTCTTATGATGGACTTCGAAGTCAGGGGATAAGCTAGTGAGAAGAAAATCAGTACTGGCCCACAGACTCAGTATTCTCCAAGCTGAGGTCCAGGTTATGCCAATTCTGGAAGGAAGGCAAAGAATATTGCCAAGAAAATGAAAAAACAATTTATATCAAGTTTATTTATATACTCATTTTAGTGTTGACTATTTCAATCCTCCCCTAGAAAACTCAGGAAAGCTGTGGAGCTGTTATGAAATCTCATTTATAGTTTCTAGAGGGCACAAGGTTTTGACCAGTAGCACTGTATCATTCTTGTGAATAGTGATTATGTAGCCCTTCTGTGGGACCATCCTTGAACCTTCCTTTCTGGAGTGTGAAGAGAGTGAAGACTTCACTTGCAGTGTTTCTCTGGAAGCTAGAAATGCCATGGAATAGAACAGCTTTTTGCTAGCCCCCCGGGGATGCTATATGGCCTTCAGTTGTGTCTTTTTCCACTAGCTCCCCCCTCCATAGTGCATGAAACTGTATTTTCAAATCAGAATTCTCAGCAACTGGTATAAATTACTTCAATTTTGCTGTAACTATTGTTCCTAGAGACACAAAATATTTTCTAATCAGTATGTTTGAATGGCAAAGATACTCAAGGAAAAAAAAAAAAAAAGCCACAGATATTCCAGGCAAGACTTTAGATTTATAGAGCTCCAAGCAAGAAGGGATCAGTTGTTCTTCCAGCTGTCCCTGATCTCAGAGAGTAAAAGTGGGTCACGACTCATGGAGAACAGGCAAAATTCCCATTGGTACAGGCCTCAGGCAGTCATTTATATTGTCTGCAAATACAATTGCACCCAGTGGCCCACGAAACTCTTCATGCTCATAGGTAAAATATTCCCCAATGAACAGTTTCTAATGACCCACAATGTAATGTGAAGTTCTGACGTACTGGTATTATCTGAGCTCTGGTAAGAGTAGAAACTATGACTCAGCTTGACCTCCTGTGCTGATGTGCCATCAGTATGATTTTCTCTGCTTTTCAAGTGAGAATGGCAATGGCTTCTCCTCACTTTCACCCTTACAACTTTCTGACATGAAGTTAAGGCTCTGAGATCTTTTGAACTGTCAAGTTCACAAACTGTAATTTAAAAATGCAACAAAACAAACAAACAAAAATATGTAGAAAGAGTTTCTCCAGGAATCCAGAATGACAGTTATGGAAGCATTCAGAAAAGCAATACATAATAAAAACCTTGGCCATGTGTATCCATACATCTTACTTGCATGTTATCAGGCTTGCACAGATTTCTGCAACTTGTTAAAGGCAAGAAAGTATACTTTTATCATTTAACTATCTTTTAGGACTGAGGGAATGCCACATGACACATGTGTACACATCATTCCACAGTTAAAATACCAGGAATGCTAAAGAGTAAAGTGTCTTTCTCACTAAGGACAAACACAGTCCAGCTACTTAAGTTTTGTTAAAATAAAGACTGCAAGGTACACATTTTTTATAGGCAAACATATGTTGTTATTCATTCCTGTTCTCTTCTTTCCATGTATTACCTGCACAGGTACATTCAGCTATACTATAGGTAGACTTAAAAATAATTGAAAGCTGCCTGCTTTGTGCAACATGAGCAGTATTTTCCACTGCAGAAAGTGATAGTTCCAGGCACTAGGCTTTTTATATCTCTGTAGTAGTGGGGAAAAAAAGCTCTACTGTAAAGCCATATTGGTTAACCATTTTGAAAAAGCTGGTTATCATCAGCTAGCCCAGAAGAAGGAAAGAAGGAGGGGTCCTTCCCCTCACCCCCAGGACCTTGTTGACATGATGTCATCTAGGTTCTGGTTGTATTTATAGCCTAGAGCCATGGAGTCAGTGTGGAATCCAAACAGGAAAGCTAATCATTAGTGTACCAGAATGCACAGAGTAGAGAAAAGCAAATGAAGATGACAGCATATCTATAAATGCAAGAGAAAAGAGAGTAATTCTGTCATTCAGCTGTCTAGACTGTTTGCTTTATAATGTAAAGCTGTGAATGAGCCAGTGAGTTGCAATTATGGCATAGTAGCTTTGTAGACATTCAGAGACAGCGGTGTGGAGACTGAGGGGATTTACTGAGTTCCTGTCATGTTGGGATGTCATACATGGTGCCTTTAAAAAAAAGAAGAGGGAGGGAAAATGCCGTGGAAAAATAAATTAGCTCAGCTCTTGCAGCTTACAAAGCTAATGAACAAGGAATTCAAACAAAAAGAAAGCTCCTACATGTATAATAATCCTTAGATTTTTTTTTTTTGTGCTCAGCAAAGAGAGAAATGTATCTTGTACAAAAGCAGTATTTTTTCCCCTCTATGAAAATGTTGAAGCCCGAGTATTCATTTAGCTCTTTAACTCCTGCTATGAGTCACTAGGAAACATTTTCAAAGAGTTAAGCTTGCTGAAGTTGCTTTGGCAGAGCTTTGCTTCTTGTTAATAATGTTGATATTTTTTCATTTGGAATCTGTTGCAGTGAACAGCCTTGTATTATCTGTATATGTGAAAATAGTAGGAGCTGAGAAGGTAATTCCAGCTGGCATGCCAATCCAGCATCAACTGCAATAAATTACTTTGCAGAGAGCATGTTCTGTTACTTTTTATGGTCATGTTCTATATTTGTATGTGCAGTGGAAGAGATCACATGACAAAACCACCGGTTGATATTCCTGTTTTCGTATGTCCCAGCTAATGACTGCTGGATACAGGCTCATTCAGCAGGATGGGATTCTTCAGTTCATCCACTTACTAAAAATCATTTTCTGATGCCAAACTTCAAACATTAAAGCCAAAAAATGTCTCATATAAATCGTTTACTATACATAGATAGTACAGAGAAGATGGGAAGGGAAATAAATTAGAATATTGCTGTATTCTGTGAGAAGTTGTTTAAAAGGTGTTTTGAGACCATACATGTACAAGTTGCTTGAGCAATTCACAACATGGATTTTAACACA